ATCGATTCGCTTGAAGTCGCCTAATCTACTACTCTCCAGCGATTTCAATCGATACGTATCCAATCTTGTCAGCGCAATCTCCTACTCTACTACTATCCTAATATCCTGTCGCCTACTATCCTAATCTCCCGAGTCGCGAACTATGAACGCGGCCTTACACGGAGGAGGGATATCCTAATGTGTGTGAGCCTTTTTCATTTTCCGGAACTCTTCTAGAGGGTACCGGCTTATACTCCGCTAGCGCCTTTCTATTCCATTATCGTTCCCATAGAATCAATAATGTAGACGTATGGCGTGGATTTTCCAGAGTGAAGTTATAAACAACTTCTTCCAGAGTTTTCATTTCTACGTAAACACTCGCGTTAAACAGAAAACGAACTCGATTAGTTTATCTGTACCATAGAGAAGTGAGTCTATTTCTATTCACTTTTACTTCTGCTATCTGCACCATTGCAAAGACGGATATTGATTAGAACGCATGTGCAATCAATACTCATTTCAATTTGCATGCTTAAATTGGGGGAGCGGCAACAGAATCACCTGGTCGACGCATCGCCGCGTGCGACCTCTTGCGCGGCGTCGCGACGCGGCGATTTCCCGACGGGCGCGGGATTTCTGAATTTGTAGTTGGAGCAGCAAATTCTTTGATCAAATTTCAACTTACCTGCTCTGGCTCTTTCATAGAAAGTAGCGAGAAAAACTTTTCTCTTCGAAGTTTATTATGACAACAATGAAAAACGCGGATGGAAAGATCTTCGAATGAAGCACACAGAAACTCGTCCACTGCAGTTGCGACGTCGCGGCCACGACCACTAGCGCGGAGAGCCGGACGATCCTCTCGGATACACCCTTTCGATTAAGCCCCCCTTTAGGCTGTGGGGTGGTTAGCATGAACGAGAGGCCGTTAATTCGTGAAGGCGGCGGACATTGCCACAAGTGGGGTGACCCAGATTACTCATACTACGCGCTCAGGACTCCGTAGGGAATAGAAGGGAATGGGGGCGGACGTGCACAATTTGTGTTCTCCCTGGCGTTTTCCCTTCTCCTGGATTTAATTCTAGCGTCGCCTACCATCGGCCATGTTTACATTGTCCCCACTCAGGTCTGAACACCAAATAGTCTTTTCACTATATGGATGAGGGGGGGGGGGCGTAAAGGCTGAAAACCGGAGCTGTTTGATGACGTCATTGGCTGTTAGTTGGTTGACGGAAGTGGTGCGAATAGGTTCTAACTCACACGACGCGGCCCTCCCAGTGCACCTTACCTCAATGCGGCCAACCGACGTAGTCGCCATCACAATAGCACTTGACGGCTAGCGAGCATAAAGACGAATAAAGAGGGGTGCAATCGGGGAGGCATGTGCACACACAACAAGCAGTTTTACATGGCCGAACAATACGGTGTGGCGCATACCAGCAGTTACGACGAAAGATGCGCTATTGCTGAAGCACGGTCGAGATTCGAAGCACTTACGCCGCAAAAGCGGCCCACTAGTCGAGTTCCTATTGACGAACCTGCGTTGCTAGGCAGCCGCCCAAGCTTGACTGGAGCCTGGATTGGCACCAAACGAATGAACTCGTTCATACGTCCGCTTTCTGAGCTGTTACTTATGAGTGAAAACCAACGGCCAAAAAAGGGGGTCCCGTTTTGCGTTTTCTTGACGGATTTCTCCGCTTTTTTCGCCACTGGCGTACCATTGAGCACCACCAGTCTCCTATAAACCCTTCTTGACCTATCGTAATCACTGCCTTTAAGTTCTATGAGCCGATTGAGCCAATTCCTCCTACCATAATGCTCTGGCTTCCAGATACGTAGATTTTCTCTCATACGGGCGTTCGAATTAAAAAAGAAACAGACCTACATATACATGTTCCACTTATCGGAAAGCGTAATTAACAACAATCCTTATACTAGATTGGTTTTAACCCTACCTTTTCTAATGTTCACTTGCAGAATGTTTCGCTGTACACAATCTACTTCTCATGTTCTTCGCAAAACAAGTGTGCGTTGGATCACAAAAGCAAATCCTGGTGATAAAATTGTGCAAAGGGACGAGGTGAGTGTGACCATTTCTTAAAAATGCGCGCACTTTTCGCCTCAAAAGCCCTGGAACAAGTTAGAAATAGCGACGGCTTCGACTGTTTGATATTTTCATGAATTTGAATGATGCTGCTGAATGTTCAAAACAAAAAGTGCCCCAAATTTTGTTTGCACCAGTCCAGGGGCGTGGTCAGTGACTGGGCGTGGCATGTGGAATGGAGTGGGCGTTTTACTCATTTCTTTACTTTTAGGCTGTTTTGAGCACCGGCGCGAGCCGCTACCACGGACGGAAGATGGCGGGGTTGGGGGGAGGGCAGGGGAAGGGAGCAGTTTTAACTATCGCGGTGCGCGAATTTCGGGATCAGCACAAATTCACCTTCATCACCCCTCACTACTGAAGTCTTTCTACGGCGTCATCTCAGCCCTTCTTTGTGACACAAAATAAACCCAGTTCTACCTGATCAAGTTCCATCCCGAAATCATCCATAGATTGGGGCGGTTGGGTTGGTATACATGAGAATGTATTTACCCCCTCTCCGAACACGACATTCCCAAAATCGCTACGAGCACCCCCCCCTTTGAATTTTGACCAATGGATGGTTGACCCTGTGGAGGGAGAGGGATAGCTAGTAGAAGCGCTTGAGGTTGAGTTGACGAGTAGGAAATTGCGGTCATGACGTCATTCTTCTCTCTTTACAGATGAAACGATTTATGGTTGACATCATGAAGACACAAAAAGTGAATCCATCGCATGCTGAGCAATTAGCTGACGTTCTTCTTGAAGCAGACGTGCGTGGTCACTATAGCCACGGG